CCCATCGCACTATTCTGTCTTTCGTCAACATTAGGTTCATGTGTGTCAGTCGGCGACGTACCTGCCCCGGTGACAAACATCTTCTGTTGGCCTGTTGGCCTGATAGGCCTACTGAAAGGCCTACTGGATGACTGTTTGACTGTATTGATCATAGTGTCCTTACCAAAGACTGGGTCAATGGCTTTCTTAGCTTCCTTACGAACAAATTCCACTAGCTGACTGAACCTAATCGTATGGCCCCTACCCTTTGTGTCAAAAACAATGTTCCGCCATCTGTCATGTAGGTAGTATGGCAGTTTGGCTACTAGTCGTTTCAGGTTTTCTGAGTATTCGAGCACTTTCCCTGCATCCACGGATTCAACTGATAGTTGGCATTCGCGCAAGAATATTGCAAAGTCGTCAAGCGCCTTGGCGTTGTCATGGTTGATAACCGGCCACTCTAGAGCTTTCTTGACATATGAATGCGCTATAACGTCTGGGTCGCCATAGCGATCCTTGAACTCTTCCAGGGTTGCTGTGTAGCCCAATTTGGCATCAAGGTGTGAATAGCCCGATACGATTCTGTGCGCCTCACCAGTAGTAAACTGTAGTAGAAATGTCAGACGTTCCTCGTAAGAGTCTGTGTTCACAGTCACTTTGGCATTAAATTGCCGGAGAAACCGTTGATATTCCATTGGATTGCCACTGAATTTTTGTATTTCAGCTGTAGGTTTGTTCAGTTCTCTCGCGACTGCCAGAAGTCCTGTCTCACCTCTGCTGCTAGTCAAAGTAAAATCACTATGGCTGTTTTCAAGGGGCATAGATTGCCTGTGACTGTAGTCTGTCGTGGGCTCTTGACGCGAAGTGTTACGCAGGAATGGTGTGCTATTTGAAACACGTTCATTAACACGTGACATCTGCCCCGCTGCTGCAGTTGTCAAATTATTACGGGAATCGTAGTCCGTTCCAGCATCTCGACGGAAAGTGTGACGCGATATCGGCGTACCATGCGAAACATTTTCAGGAACATGCGACGTCTGCTCCCAAGCCACGGTTTTCACGTTAGTATTCAAAACTGCATCATCCAAACCTTTTCCTATCATTTCTCCCAAAATGTCATCTTCCCTTTCACTTCTGCCCAACTCGTTCAGGATTCTGACCTTTGCATCACTCACTTGCAATTCAGTTTTAATTTCTAATGCTTCCTGTTTTTGCTGGAGCTTGAATTTGGCTTCCTCGATCTCCTGTTTCTCGTTCAGTGCTGAAGCTCTGGTCAATAATTCTGCCTTTCTTTGGGCCTCCTGAACTCTCGCCAATGACAACTGAGAATCTATGGATGACCTTGACCTTGACTTAGAAATTCTCGATGCACTATATGCATACTGTTGAGACACTGAGGCCAGTTGAGAAAGAAAATGACAACGAGAATTTCTCAAAAGTGAACGAGACATTTCAAGACTTGAAATCTCGCATAGAAACATGTTTTTTGAAACAGTCAGTTTATGAAAAGGTTTTGAAAGCCCATGAAGAATATCAGAAGTTACTGTCTGATAAAGTCACTTGTGATGCTAAGCTGACTATCAATGTCATCTGTTAGCCTTGTTAATATCGATATACATTTTTGTCTGTTATTTTCCTTTAGTTCCATGGTGAATTCCAAACCCCTTTGTGTTAGTGTCCTCTCTCTATCGCTCCTGCGTGGACCGTCGCCTTCTTCTGTTAAGGTCCTCTCTCTATCACCAACACATGGGTCGTCCAATCTTTCTCCAGAGTCCATTTTGACATCAACTCATCAAGTTATTAATGCAGGTTAAAGTTGTAAATGATATACCGTTCGATTTATTGGTTTTATTTGAATGTAAGATGCGTGCCAGGACACGATTTACTGAAACAGTAAATAAACACNTGTGTGGATGTGAGGCTACATTTGCAGTTCAATTGCAAAGACAAAAGTTTGTTGAACAAGGTTTACACTTCTTAAATCATATTAATTTCTAACGCAGTCTGTATATTAATAGCACCCTGAATGCTCGCGTGGCTACCGTCATCTGAAATGTAGGCAAAAACCTGGGGCAACCCATTACTCATGCATGGGGGTGAACTGGCACTTTTCTAATAAACATGCCTTGTTTAATTTATTACTCACAGCTGAGCCAAATTGTCGCCTGCCTGAATATACTTGGATTTTAGCCCGTAAATTTCAGCAACTCGATCGAATTAGGTTATCTCTACTTTCTTGACTTGTCACCAATGCACGAAGGGCGATGCCATCTTTGATTATTTATTACACTTGCACGCGCCATCTCGCGGCAACTATAGGCCTAGTGATACATTATGACACGAATATATAAGACAGTCGAGCAGGTATGAAGTAGGATGCATTGTTAGGGTTTAGTTTTAGTGTTAATACTTATGCTACACAGTTTTGATGATGACGTAGCCGGTTTAGCGATAGAACAGGCTTTCAACCTTTTGCAGAAACGAAGGCCAGTACAGTAGAGCAGCAGACCTCAGATGAGCACTGTTGCTACTGCAGACGTATAATTGTCTAGACGCATTGTCTGGTTCGCTTGATACAATGTATACACATTCCGATTTTGATGATTTTTTTTTTACTATCCTGGCAGGATACCAAGCATTGAAATCTGGTATCCAACACAAGAATCTACTATCCTGTGGATATCGGGATACCGCTAATTTCGACCCCTGATTAACAGTTTACAATCCTCTATAATTGGTATAATGCATGTTTCTCATTATAATGATAACTCACCATATTCATATCTTATACACTTAGGTACATGCACTACATCAACCCTGGCAAGTTTGACATCACGACTTTGAAGGACGTGGGAAAGACCAAGGAATTCTTCGCCAAGATTCGGGAATGTGGCCTCTCGGACCAAACCGTATTAAAAATTATCAGAAGGGAATAAAAAAATATTTGGACTACCTCAAAGAAACAACAGACCGACCGACCAAACCGACCAAACCAGCAGGTAGGAGAAATTGAAATTTGTCTACAGGTGTTGATATTAGAATTAAGTAATGCAGAGAAATGAGCTAATAAGTAAATATGCAAATAACTAGTAATAGTTGAATATAGATAGAATAAGAAATGTTGGAGACGGAAGTCTTTGTTTAAACGCTGACCACCGACACGCGACGACCACCGTACGTGTCAGCCAATGAGAGCGGTCGATATGCCTGCGTGACCAGAATGTGTGACAATAGAGGGGACGCGCATATTTAAAGGAGCACGCCTTTGTGCGCGTCCCTCTGCCTCTCGCTATTCTGACAGAACAAGACGTATACATGTTTGCGTGTGTGAGCATCCTATCGACTGTTAGAATCGTAAGTTGTGTTTCGTGCCGCGTACACCTATGTACACGTAATCTAGCTGCCTTGTTCATGGGCGTATACGTTAGTTTAAGTTATTGTTATTAAAGATGTGATTGTACTCTAAATACGTAGATTACTCTTGAGTAATTTATATATGCATATGATAGACGTTTAGTACCATGCATATACGCGACCACTATATGATCACGATAGTACGACAATGATATCATAATAATTACATTTGATGCCGTGACTAGCGCGTATGGAGCTAAATGTTGAGTCATTATTAGCTCACCTTCACATCGTCAAGCTGAGCTATTGCCATGGGTCGTCGTCCGTCATACGTCTGTCTCAGGAACCGTTTGGCCCACATGTTTGAAATTGGTTATAGTTGTTACTGCTATGCTCCCATATTAAACGTTCTATTTTGAGGCACTCCAGTCGACGTACTTTCGAGTCACGGCAATTTTTTGGCAAAAATGGGAATTGCCATTAGTCAGTTCAGGTTAAACGGATTTTGCTCATTTTTGGTATGTGAATGAATAAGGGCTAGGGGTTTTGATATTTAAAAAAATTATGCAAATTAGGTAGGGTTTGGCAATTATATAGCATATTATATAGACACAAACAGTCTGTGGTGTCACACTCGTCTGGTACAAGATTTCATTGACAATATCTTTAATGCAAAATTGGTATTTCCTCTCCACCCTGCCGATAAAACGTCTATATTAGAGTAAAGATTTACAAAACATGTCGGAACGCAGCATAACCTATTTATTTCAAACGCCATCGCTACAAAGCGGGTATAGCGCCATCTACTGTCACAAATTGTGATTCATTTTGGTTTATAAATTATTATTGCGATATACAGATGGCAATCGTTTCTATAATGTACGTCGATGGTTGCTCAATTAAAACTGACTTCTTCTTACTCACTCATTTGTGTCCTTTTTTTGTGGTGAGCTACAGTGTCATTGACACTTTCATTTTTTATGTATCTCTTGTGCGTGTCGAGTGTCAACTGCATCTATCCTGCCATGAGCATCGAGCAGAATACGTACGGGCATTGAACAAAGCTGACCAGCTTCTGATTTCCCTGCCACCGTCGCAGCATGATTTTGTAAGTGCACTGTAGTCTATAAGTATAACGATGCACAGGCGACGTATTTTGTCACCATGTTGTTAACAAACGTGTATCACGCACTGCTGTGCGCACCACTGAATGTACACTGTATGTTTCACGATATAACTTTACTATGTTTCACAATGTATTACACTCATATTTTAATTGCATACTTGTATGTTTTTTGTGTGTGTGTTTTAAGCACCCTATTGTCAAGTGCCACTAACCAACGTTGTAGTTACATAACGCGCAATGTAACACAGAATGCTAACCTAGCTTCTTCTGAGCACCTCCAGTCGCCAGCATCAGCAGCATGAATCTCTGCCCAGCCGACGTCTCCTACAGTGACGAGGAGGACACCATTTTCTGGAGCGACAGCGATATAGACGCAGCCCTTGAGCAACACAACGCCAAGGCCAACTACGCAGTTCGCCGCCCCAACGAGGAGCTGACTGCACAGGGGGAGCCACCCCACAAACGTTTTTGTGCGGGCCGACTCGCCGGCCCCACCAACGATGGAGTGACAAATACGAGGACATCCATCGCCACAGTGCACACAGTGCCCCTGCCACCGCTTACTGGAAAGCGTCACTGCCACCACCACCATGATCAGGGCGCCCCGTACCATGGACTGGCCGACGACAGATCCAAATAACTACTCACACGGCATACCCCTGCCTGCGACGCCGCGCCTCATCTATGGCGGCACACCGGCACAGGTCAATTATGCGTCGTGGGGCGAGTTCTTTTATGATGTGCTCCGCTTCCGGTGGGCTGCGCCTCAATCCAGGGTTCACGGTCGTGCACCTCAGCGATGACGCTTGCGCCACCAAGATTGTCTTCGTAGAGGAGGCGCCACTGCCAGGGGTTGCCTTTGAGGAGCAGTGACAACGACGACCCCGGACGATGACGATGGACCCCACAGCACCACGGACGACGACCATCATGACGACGAACTACAACGACCACCACGAGGACGACCAGTGACGACGACCACCACGAGGACGACCAGCGACGACGACCACCACGAGGACGACCAGCGACGACGACCACCACGAGGACGACCAGCGACGACGACCACCACGAGAAGATTTTATTAGGATATAATCGGAAAACGGAAGGAAAGTTAAAGGAATGTATTTGGTGATGGGAGCATGGAATAAAATAAAATTAAAATTAAAATAAGCTAACATAAAATAAAATAAAAATAAATATAAAATACGTATTAAAGTGATTACGTCACCGTAAATAGTAAAAATAAAAAAAATATTTCCACTTTTTCACAAAATAAAAGTAATTCCAGTGACTCGTTATTTTCTGACATGGGCCATGGCATCCTGTGTCCATATCATTTCCTGTATCATGTATCATATGGACTGTGCCCATGTATCTGTGTGTGTGTACGAACTTGAGTGCATAGGCACCTATTACTATTAATATTATTATTAACTTTTACTAATATTTTTAATTATGTATAATAACAGGGTCCAGGAGTGAGTAATTATAATCTCCAACTTATTACAAGGTTTCTTATACATGAGGCACAGTGGCGCACCACTGTTATCAAATTTGACATCGCCGGTGGTGAAAATGTTCCTGTATTTACCCGCCGTTGTCAAAATAGTGTAGAAAATATAATTTCTAGAAATAAATTATTTTTTAATAAAATGCGTAAATAATGTTGCGTGAAGAGCCGCAGCTGACGCTGTTTTCGCACTCCTCCTGACGCTCCTAGCTGTCCTGTTGCTGAACCTCTTCAACTGACGTGGGAGACATAGCTTCTTTAACGGCCCTCGACCTTTCGCGCAGCTCGACTTAATTCTGTCTTCAGGAAGAGGAGTAGTTGTTCTAAATCACACTCCTTGCCATCGCTGCAACGAGCCCATTCCAGTCGAACATGCGGTGGTAGGCGCGAAAGAACAACAGGCATAAGTAGTACCCCGTATCTTTCTCCCGGTACTTCCAGTGCTTCCAACCCACACACATGAATAAGGAGCGTTGTACTTGTATGTTGTAGATGAGCATTTGGACGGCATTTACAGGAAATTGCCGGCAATAATAGGTGAAAGAGAGTAGAGAAACATTAAGACTTTGGTAGTAAATAGATTTCGTATTTATTTAGCATTATATTTTATTGAAATGCTCCAAGTGCCTGCATGTGCTGCTACCAGTTGTACTGAATTCATGCATTAGTGTTTACACGTACCGAGCAACTCGCTGTGCTGTGCATGTTTGTCAGCAAACAAGTAATTTTTATCGTAGGACTATGGTTCACGTTGCTGGTATCGGGATCATAGCCACGTGCAAGTGTTAGTCCACTAGGAGCATCACGTGATGTGTGTGAGCGACGAGTGAGGCGGTGTCTGGGAGCAGCAGCATGTGTATGATTGGGCGATTCTTTGATTTCATCGCTTGCTTTTTTTCCGATGAAGAGACGATATTTCATCATTAAGTGGCTCATGATTTTACCAGTACCGTGACTTTCCAGCGTGTGATCAGTCGCGTCACAGCCACGTAGTGCAGCGCTCACGTGAAAAACACAATCGATTTGATAACATAGTTTGTCGATAAAGCTTGAAGGTATGTGAATGTGCTACGCCATCTGAGTTTGTTTCACACAGGTGATCTAACTCCTTAGGGGTTCTAGTAGGTGAAAAAGGATCACCATTGCAGAAAGCACCCTTGCTGTTGTAGGTGTTAATTTTAATGATCTCTTGTTATGTTGTCAGAGGAGTGACGATCTCTAGATTTTGCACGATATTGCATGTCTGAAGCTTTCACCAGACCTGTGTAGCAGCATGGAGTACAGGCAGAGGGCAGAAGAAGTGAGGGACCACATGTACAAGTTTGGGACGTGTGATGATGAATGGAAGGTCGTTAAGAGTACTGTAAGTAGTGACCACTATATGTGTGTTTGTGCATGCTCACAGGTTATACTCTGCGAATGCCACAACTCTAGTTACAAATGCTTCTTTGAAACAATGGTAAATCAAAAGGGAGTATATATAGCTTCGATTAGTGCGGTATATCAAATTGTTATAAAAACTTAACTATAATACATTGTGCATGGAGCCCTTCTATATCTTACCATTTTTTTAAACATCAATGAACCGTTTCATTGAAGCTTGGTTATCTTTGTAAAACATTTTTGATTAAATGTAATGTAAACTGAATTTGGCTATCATACGCATGTGTAGCTTGGTAGATACTAGCAACCTTGACACCATAGTGGCATAATAAACACATGTGACACAATGAGACACGTGGTTTTGTAAGTCATAGTTTACCATTCGGAAATAACACAGCAAAAACATTTACATCTTGCAAAGACGAGAATTAAAAATCCTAATACACCATGCTACATTCTCGTGAAATCACACATTTTCATAGTTACTGTAACATGTTCCATGTCAGCTGCTGCTATATCTGTATTAACCCTACGGTGCACTCGTTTAAGTTATTAATTCATAGTTTTGTTTACCAATGCTCCTATTCTCACTTTAGAAAGATGTTGTGGTTTCATGGATGCCATCTACTGATCTAGAAGGCCATTATATGTAAGTGTGTATTACTTATCAATAATAGCTTGATTCTTCCTTGTGTCTTGTCTTGACCAATATATCTGCATTGATTTCATACATACATGCAAGAGACCACTCGTAGGAGCACTTGTTCCCGAATGGTCCTTCCCAAATGTTTTATGTCTACATGATTAAACTAAGCATAATTAAGAAAATAGCAAAAAAGTGGCTGGGTCTTCAAAGTTCAAATGTGATGCATCCTCTGAAAGTCTGCGCCAGGGTGATTTAAATCAGTGATCACATCAGGATATATCCTGCTGTTACTGTGTTATGATGTGTAGGTACAAGGGAGAGAGCCAAGTGATGGCACCAGCTGAGTCACTCTTTCGACAGGTGATATACCCTGCAGACATTAGCTTCAGAGCCTCCTGGGATAATGGCCTGAGCAGTATAGAAACACTAGAAGAGATCGACAAGGTAGGTTGACCACGACCAATGCCATAGCGAAAGTATTTTCTTTGTGACTTGTGCGTGACATACTCCGTTGTGCTCTATTTTCACCCAACAGTTATTGTACACGTAGCTGTCCCAGGCAAGGCGTGTGGGTGGCACTAGTGATACCCTGGGGCTTTTTATCAGCAACAAAGATTAGTCGTAACATTAGTCATAAATGCTATCTTAGCAAAACAATTAGTAATAATTTTACGTTACTGATAAAGGGCCCCTGGCTTGCAGAGCTGTTTACATATACCTTGTTGTACTTGGGCGTGTAACCTCGTACTTCGCGGGTGTGGGGAAAAGGCCGTAGGAGTGGTTAATAGCAACAGCGCAAGACAAGAAGCGCGGTATGAATTGTCTAACCTCTGCAACACGTAAAGCTCGATTTAGCGATCCTGCTGCCATATCTATGCATGGCTGCAGAGAATTTGAGAACAGGGTGGCCAACCCCTCCAAATTAAAAGCTTGTGATGCAGCTTGATGGGTCATGCCGTGAGTTTCGTAGTTGAATATACAAATTAAAGTCTAGTCATAACTATCTAACTATAATTACTTCTATACCTAGGGCAGAAATGCGACATATAAGCATATAACTAATAGTCACCGATAGTTTGCGCTACTCAGTTATGTTAGCAATTTGCTCGTAGATCAGCGTCGAATGACCCCAGCACCAACACGCGTGCAACACAAAACCCGAGGTTCTTTAGATCACGGCACCAGATGTAACCTCGTACTTCGCGGGTATGGGGATAAGGCCGTAGGAGTGGTTAATAGCAACAGCGCAAGACAAGATGCAAACACGAACTAGTAACGTAACGTGACCACAAACAGTTATATTGTTCATAATGCAACAGTGAGTAAAGAGCAGAAGCGTAATGACGAGTGTGTACAACAAAGCGTAGGTGATAGTCAAACAAATGGAAAAGGAGTGCCTCCTGCTCCCTGTCGCGGCGCTCTTAAATATAGCCGAACTTGTTGTTCGACCTCTCTGGTCACGACGTGTGCCAGCTGTGGGTTATAATATATTATCCCGCACTCCGGCCTCTCTGTTGACGTCGTTAGCTACCTTATTGCTTCCATTATTACCCACACGCTGCGTCGCGCGCACCAAATATCTCCTATATTTCCCGTTAGCTCGTCGCCAACGCGACCCGCACGCAGGGGCGTGGCTACGGGGGGGCCTGGGGGGGCACGTCGCCTCCCACAAATTTTCTGTGCCCCCCAGGTGCCCCCCTCCACTGAAAATTCATGCTTGATAAAAAAAAATTCGAATTAAAAACAATGCCGTTAATAGTAATAATACAAAGAAAGAGGGTTCGAACCACATCTCAGTAAAATTATATATTGTGCCCCCCACGAAAATGTAAGGCCCCCCCCCCCCGCTGAAAAAATCCTAGCTACGCCACTCCCCGCACGGCGTCACGCCTGAACGGACAGTAATCAATGAGCTAGCCTGAAACCAGCTCCGTTACAGGCGCATGCGAGCTTCTGACATACATGGCTGAAGAATTATTTTAAAGTGCAAATGAAAGAGGGCACACGGTATATATTGCAATGCATTAAGGTTACGTGGTGCACAATAAACTTTACTTGTTTCGCTATCCATGCAGCTTGGGAGAGGATCAAATCGGCTTATGAATAATCAATCATTTTAATACAAAAGACAAAAATGTGCAAAAAAGTTATGAATTATTCGTTGCTCATACTGTGAACCTATCTGTGCTGGTATACATAGGTTCAAGCAAATACACTTTGCTGCCAGTTATTGACTGTAACATTCATACACTGCTTATTATGAATGCAAACTGAAGGGCAACTTTGCAACTGTATTTGCTCTCCTTCGTACGTATTGCTGGTTGCTTTAACAGCATGCTGTGTGTTTATTTAATCGCTCAGGACCTTCGAGTCGTAAGAAGCTGTACCAAGTCGTCGGTGATGGGGCTTATCTCTCCACGTGACTTTGTCGACGTCGTACTAGACACAAAGTATGACGATGTGCTCTTTACTGCAGGTAACTCTCACTACATCACATGATTCTTGGAGTGATGCCATGTTGCCTGTTGGGCTACTTGAGATAAAACAGTCAGTCCACAAAAAAATTTAATTCTTAATTGTCACAAGACAATTAAAGGTGCTGCACTATCACCAGGATTTATTCAATGTTTTGAGTAATTTTAGGTATCATAAGAGCACAAAATTAATCCAAAACATCACATACTGGAGCAGCATGATTTATAGTTTGTTAATTTATCAATATTTTCATATCAGGTAAATTACAATTTTGAAATATGTTGTCGCTTTAGGCAAGAGCTTCCTTTATGAAAAATGCCCAGCAGTTGATAGTCATGTGAGAGGAACCAATGGTTCTACCGGTGTCATGTGCTTCAAAATCGATGGGTAAGCTGATAAGATTTGCTGCCTGGCATTTGACATTTACATTCATAATTCATCTCTCTTTGTTATCAGGTGATAACACAATAACAGATTACCAGTGTATACCCTGCTTTATCTACTAAGACTACTAAGAGTGCATAACTGTCGAACGTGATTTTAATGATATTGAGAAAAAGATTCCATGTGATTTTTTTCGTGTAAACTTGAATTCTGTTGACCTTATGCGATTTTTTGTACTACCTTATGTGATACGGATAATATTAGTTATTGGTTTGATACAGACAGCATTTCTGTTGCAGGGACCCGAATGTGACGCGTGTGATTAGCATTCTGAATGTAGACCTTGGAGGAATGCTTCCAAAGACTGTGGTGGAGAGTGCCATGCCCTCGTCCCTCGTCTCCTTCTTCAGCGATCTGAAGAAGGCAGCAAAGTCACTAAATCTATAAATGTCCCTGAGAGAGAGACGCACGATTCACGCTCCCTTCCGCTATAGAACCCGACGTGCATTTATATTATGAACGGGAAATTACGGTCATCATTCAAGGTGCCTGCTAGAAAGGTTTCAAGTAGGCGCACATGTCGAGAGATCCGTCACTGACGGAAGAAGCATTAATTGATTAAGGATGATCATGAGTAAAAGCAAAGCTTCCGCGTCATGGCCGATTACCCGCAGAATTTTTCCATGTATTTGACATTGTGTGCGTACTGCTGCCGTTAATGGGCTAAGTGATAAGTAATGCTGTTAATGGGACACGTGGCCATTAGAGGAAATTGTGTTTCCTTATACAGCACTGTTCCATTGTAAATCTAATCCAGACAATCAAGTTTAGGTTGATGTAACCAGTGTGTGGGGACGACGACAGCAATAGTTTCGTGGGTTTCCCATTATTGATTTATCGCTGTCATGAAATGTCCAGCATGCACTCACTGGTAACCTGAAGGTTTGATAGACCATTGTCAATTCATTTTACGTCTTTCTAACAGCCCACGCAAAAAGTGTAATTATAGCGACTGTGATTTCTGTGTATATTTTCAGTTATACATTACGTACCACGTTATTTAATGTATGTACATATGACATGCAAAATAAAAACAAATTCGCAGCCAAGTAGGTTGTTACAGCTTTTTTTGTTGTTAACAGTTTAATATCGATTTAATACCTCATATTACAGTCATAACAGAATAATATCTCGCAACGTATATATAGCACTAGCTTTATCTGCTAATACTCATGCACACAGCATGTAAATTATTGCTGTAATGCACAGCCCCGAGTGGGTATATGTATACATTGTTGCTAGCCACAGCAAACACAGATGGCAGCAGTGCTGCGGCTCGACTGTAAATGTGAAGGCATATATTTTTACAAGATGCAAGTGCGACACAGCATAAATGCATGGACTGATCCACCGATTTCTGTCCGTTTACGAAATTAACAGTCACAGAAGCTTCATAACCCAGCTAATGCCCTTACTAACCTGACCACACACACCGAGTTGAACACATAATTTGCGCAATTTCCATGCCAGCCACGTTTGAACTCACGTACAGTCAAACCTGTATGTAACAGCCACTCGCAGGGGAATGCCTATATTAGTCGTTGTGGACAGGTGGCCGTTCTATAGCAGTGGTTTCACTGTATAACTGCCACTCAAACGCTAACACAGGTTAGACTGTAGTAGGCTGTTCGATTTCACGCCGGCACGGAGGAAATGCTGATCTCCTCACTGAACAAAACTGCCGCAAGTTTGAAAAAAGCGATTGGAAAGTTAAAACTAAGCTCAAAACAAGCAAGAGCCGCATAGTAGTAACTCCCCAAAAACACACTCCATCAGCAAACGAACGACAAATTAATAGTGAGGTATATTGCTAAATTGCTAATTGCTATTAACAGCGTTTACAGACAAGCATTGTAAAACTTAAAAATAATAATCACAGATTGTTACGAAGAAATGACACCGACAACGCATTCTCGTCCCGTTACACCCACAGATTTAATTTCACGAAAACATGATGCAGACTACTGAAACACGCCCTTATTGCGTCAGGGCACCTGTAAGTAGATTTCACGTAGTTATACATCTGGAATGTGCACGCGATCGTGGTACTACCCACAGGCAAAACCTGAAACCACACCTACTTTAAACACTCTGCCCTAGCGATCGACAATTCACGAACACATACCGACTAATACTCGGCTAATATATTTTACACACCGGCTAATATAATAACTGAAATGTAATGTAACAACGTCCCCTCACGTCTGAATCACGCGAAGGAATATGCTGGTTCCAGTAATAGCACCCTAGCTTACACTACAATTGTTCAGCTGCTGTTTAATCGACTCTACCCAACTTTAACAAAAACAATACATACACCTTTTGTAACATCATCTTACAGCGACACCACGGAAGTACATTAGGCACGGCTCCATGAGACACACATGCTAGAGACCTATAGTAGTTACACGATGTTCCACTCTATACAGGATATGACCAGTTCTTCTATCATGAAACATAAACATATTGCAGGCTGGAACACAGGAACGAATGATCAACGCTTCCACATAAGTAATACAATCCGTGTCCCGATCAGCATAGCAGCAATGAGTATAGATTTGTTTGTGTAGCAATCTGAAGGAGTGGTGTACTTTATCACTTTGTTCATTCTTTGCATTCATATACACCTTATTTCCTATTTCATACGAGGGGAGAAATTTATGGTTTCCAAACGTTAAGAAAAAGCAAATCAACTGTAGGCCTGCTGCCATCAATATGGCAAGAACTATCAATAAACAATCTCATATGATTTACCTTGTATTGTAACCTAAATATTTTTTAGCCTAATCAGTTCACTGACTGTTAGACAGGCCACTACTAATTTAGACATAAGGCCACTGTTCTCGAGTAATGCACACATAATGTATGAATACAGCCCCTCTCTCGAACGACGTTACATTTTGTTACTGAGCAACGCCGTGTTAGAATACCTGTTATTACTTCTATGCCACAAGCTTCCGTCCCGATGCAGATAATCGGAAAACCAAGCCGGTATACCCACTAGTGTTACCGACAAGCGACGCCCCCCCCGTCACCTCCCTCTCCCGCCTGCGCGCACGCGGCGTCCCACGTCTAGATCTTTGAGCTGCGGCTGTCTCTGGGGTAGAATTCAGAGAGGATGTTCTGTGGGATTCGCTTGAGCATCTCCTTCGGGAAGATACGCAGCAGCTGCCAGCCGATGTCGAGCGACTCGAACACGGTGCGATTATCGTACGGGCCTGCAAGCAGCAACAACGGGTTACCCGACATACGTCTGTATCACCAACGGTTGAGCGACGAACCCCCTGGTATCAAACGTGTTTAGAATACGACGCCCTGATGTGAACGTGTTAGCAAGCACCCCCTGTAATCAACGTGTTAGGATATAACCCTGATGTCAAAACGGTGGTAGGTAATGGACCCTGGTTATCAACGTGTTAGGATACCGACCCCTGATGTGAACGTGGTTAGCAGGCGACCCCCTGGTATCAACGTGGTTAGGATACGACCCCTGATGTGAACGTGGTTAGCAGACAACCCCCTGGTATCAACGTGGTTAGGATACGACCCCTGATGTGAACGTGGTTAGCAGGCGACCCCTGGTATCAACGTGGTTACCGGACGACCTCTAATATAAGCGCGGTTAGCAGATGACCCCCTGATGTCAGCGTGGTTAGGATACAACCCCTGATGTCAATGTGGTTACAGGACGACCCCTGGTATCAACGTGGTTAGAATACGACCCCCTGGTATCAACACAGTTAGCAGACGACCCCTGCTATCAACATGGTTACCGGACAACTCCCTGGTATCAGCATGGTTAGAAGGCGACACCCTGGTATCAACGTGGTTACGTGGCTACCGGATGACCCCCCGGTATCAGTGTGGTTATGATACGATCCCCCGGTATCAGCATAATTAGCAGACACCCGCTGGATGTTAACAGAAGATCCCATGGACACTGTAATGGTGGTTAGCAGACGACCCCTGGGCGACGGCAGTGCGATTAGCGTACGACCCCTGGATGCTGCCACTAAGGTTGGCATACAACCCCTGGGCAATGCACAGCAGGCGGTCCCACGATTATACAAGACCCCCGTAACATGTCTACCGTAACCGTGGGGGAGGGGAGGGGTTTCAGCCCCTTGCTGGCTCACCTTGGGAGATGAAGTTCTTCTCAAACTTGCCGAGGAACTCGAGGTAGAGCAGGTCCTCGGAGGTGAGTGCCTCCTCACCCACGACTGCCTTCATCGCCTGCACGTCCTTACCGATAGCGTAGTTCGCATACTGAAAGTCAGAAAATAAACTCGATAAATAACACTGGAGATAAGTCGAAGGCTGGTCGTCAACGTTTAACACTGCGAAGTGCAGAACGGATTCCTTGATTCTTCTCGCGATCCTACAGTACAATTGTAATTTTCTGAATGCTACATGAAACCACAGACCATTAGCCCCGAGTGGTTTGCCTTCCCCCTGCCACCTCTATACACTGCCATTTCCCTAGGAACACTGCCTGTTGTGGTGTGACTTCCTTCCTGCCACCTCTATACAGCACCTTCATCTTGGAAACATTGCCTATTGTGGTTTGCCTTCCCCCTGCTACCTCCATAAACTATCATCTCCCTATGGAACACTACCTACTGTGGTTTAAACCCCCCCCCCCCCCCGCTGCCACCTCTACACACCACCCTCATCCTAGAAACACCTTTCATGAAAATTGTATCGTGATACGGATCGTATCGTTAAAGGGGTATCGTAATACGGATCGTTTTGTGAAAGGTGTATAGATTTGAAAAGTGTATCATCATACGGATCGTATCGTGAAAGGTGTATCGTGATATGGATCGTATCGTGAAAGATGCAAAATGATACGGATCGTATCGTTCAAGGTGTATCGTGATACGGATCGTATCGTGAAAGGTGTATC